CCCTGCTCAGCCGCTCCGCTGCCTCCTGGACAACGTGGAATAATCTATTTAAAGGCAGCGCTGGTTGCATAACACCCACCCCCCCGCAGCCTCGGCCCTGGTCCCGGGGGGGTTTGGGGGAGGAGGGTCCATGCGGGCAGGGGCCCCAGCTGGGCAGAGCCCACGGGTGAGGGGTCGCCCAGGACATGGACCTTCTCTGTGGAGGAGAGCAGGGAAACAGCAGCTCCATCTCCCAGGGAAGCTTCTCCCTCCTCCCAGCTGCTGCCTCCTGCGCCAGGCAATGATCCCACAGGTCACGTTGAATGCCACGGTGCCCGGATCCAGCCCCGGGTGGCACGTTGGGAAGGGCACCCAGATGCTCTGGAAGAGGTGACAAATCACCTGCTCCTGGAACTGTTAAGGGACTGAAATCCACTGTCCCTTTCACATGTGCTGTGTCTGTCCTGGTGCTGGTCTGGTGGCCCGAGCCCCCCCGGTGCCTCCCCCAGGGAACCAGGCCCGTGGGCTCTGGGCACTGCATGGGGTGGCAGAGGAAGCACATGAGGTTGCTTGTTCTCCCCAAGGTTTAATTAGCAACAAGCAATGTTGTCTCAACTACTTTCTTTGAGGGAGGACACTCCTCCATTTAATGAAACATCTGGCCAACTAAAACACAGCTGGAAGAGCTCCCAGCTCAGCTCCCCGGGGGTGCCAGCTCCTCCCCTGCTGCCACCACTCAGCAGGGACAGGGAGTAACCATTGAACATGGCACAGCTGCTTTCCCAGGGACACGGGAACCCCCATGGCAGGGACAGGATGGGGGGGCTGAGCCCAGGGTCCTGTGGGCCCGGGCAGGAGAGACCCACAGGGATCCCACTGCTTCCAGCAGCAGAACTGACGTAAATCCAAAATAACCAGGAATTAGCTGGTGACAAAGCACCAGTGGTTCAGAGACAGCCCAGACAATAGTCACACGGTGGGGGGAGGGTCCTGTGGTGGCTGTTGGGGCAGTTGGACAACCCCACCACGATGGAAGCAGAAAATCCTGCCAAGGGAGGGGAATAGGACCCAGCTGGGGCAGGACAATGCTGTGATCTGGGCACAGCCACACACTCCCCAGCACAGGGTCCAGCCCAGGCCCTTCCCTGCTCCACTACTGGACAGCAATTCCAGTAGCATTGCTGCAAAAAAACCCCACTCTGCTCCAGTTCAGCTTCATTGCAAACCCAGGGGCAGGAGGGCTGCATTCCCAAACATCCCCCTCCCCACTCTGGGATCCAGCCCATCACTCCTGCCTCCCAGGAGAGCCCTTTTTCCCTGGAAGCTGCTTCTCCAGGGCTTCTCCAGGGCTTCAAGGACACCTGCCCCGTTCCTGCCCTGCAGGTGACAAGGGCCAGCACAGGCAGGGGCTGCTTTGCTCTTCTACCAACACCACGTCTCAGCTCCCTCAAACACCCCTCCTGCTCCCCCACTTCCAGAAAAACCTTCCCAGGCCATCCAGGCAAACAAGGTTGTTTTTCTGTTACACATGGAGCCTGTTCTGAAATTTCCTGCCCACATCTCTCCCAGGAGCAGGGAGTAAGGAGGAAGGCAACTCTTGCTCATCCAAAACATTGACTGTGAAAACACGAGGTTGGCAGAGGACTCGGTGAAACCATCAGCAGTGGTTTATTGTTACAGCACAGAGGTCACACAGCACTCAGGGCTCTTCCTCCCAAGGAGACACAGCACAATCTGTTTGGTGCAGGGACTGGAAGAGGAAGCTGCTGGCAATCTGCTCCCAACTTTCCTGTGAGCTCAGTAAGCCGCCTCTTTTCTGTACTAAGAAACACAAAGAGCTGCCTTAACCCCTTCAGCACGAGCCCCCTCCTGCAGCCCCCCCGGGGCTGGGGGGCTCGTGTCTCTGCTGCTGCCAGGACACTGAGGAGAAAGAAAACCAGAGCAGAGGGCCCGTGGTGCTCCCCTCTCCTCACCCACCCTGGGGAACAGGGTTGACTCCAAGAGCTGTGCTCCCAGGAAAGGTCCCTTCCCAGCACTCCCCTCTGTAACCGCAGCGGGAACGGGCAGCGCTGGAGCCGGGAAAGCCCCGGAACGCGGGGACGCGGCGCCCTCTGGTGGGAAGAGGCTGCAGTGCAGGGTGGGAACCGGGCAGAGCAGCCTCGCCTGGAGGGAACAACCAACCCCTGGAGGGAACAACCAACCCCTGGAGGGAACAACCAACCCCTGGAGGGAACAACCAACCCCTGGAGGGAACAACCAACCCCTGGAGGGAACAACCAACCCCTGGAGGGAACAACCAACCCCTGGAGGGAACAACCAACCCCTGGAGGGAACAACCAACCCCTGGAGGGAACAACCAACCCCTGGAGGGAACAACCAACCCCTGGAGGGAACAACCAACCCCTGGAGGGAACAACCAACCCCTGGAGGGAACAACCAACCCCTGGAGGGAACAACCAACCCCTGGAGGGAACAACCAACCCCTGGAGGGAACAACCAACCCCTGGAGGGAACAACCAACCCCTGGAGGGAACAACCAACCCCTGGAGGGAACAACCAACCCCTGGAGGGAACAACCAACCCCTGGAGGGAACAACCAACCCCTGGAGGGAACAACCAACCCCTGGAGGGAACAACCAACCCCTGGAGGGAACAACCAACCCCTGGAGGGAACAACCAACCCCTGGAGGGAACAACCAACCCCTGGAGGGAACAACCAACCCCTGGAGGGAACAACCAACCCCTGGAGGGAACAACCAACCCCTGGAGGGAACAACCAACCCCTGGAGGGAACAACCAACCCCTGGAGGGAACAACCAACCCCTGGAGGGAACAACCAACCCCTGGAGGGAACAACCAACCCCTGGAGGGAACAACCAACCCCTGGAGGGAACAACCAACCCCTGGAGGGAACAACCAACCCCTGGAGGGAACAACCAACCCCTGGAGGGAACAACCAACCCCTGGAGGGAACAACCAACCCCTGGAGGGAACAACCAACCCCTGGAGGGAACAACCAACCCCTGGAGGGAACAACCAACCCCTGGAGGGAACAACCAACCCCTGGAGGGAACAACCAACCCCTGGAGGGAACAACCAACCCCTGGAGGGAACAACCAACCCCTGGAGGGAACAACCAACCCCTGGAGGGAACAACCAACCCCTGGAGGGAACAACCAACCCCTGGAGGGAACAACCAACCCCTGGAGGGAACAATCAACCCCTGGAGGGAACAACCAAGCCCTGGAGGGAACAACCAACCCCTGGAGCCAACAAACAATCCCTGGAGCACAGAAGAGGAACCAGCCCAGGCCCAGCTCTGGCTGGGGAGGTGGGTGAAGGGTCCAGCTGGGGTCACGGCACATTCCTCATGGCACAGGGAGCAGCTCAGACCTGCTCTGCCAACGGCCAAGTTGTTGGCAAACAGTTTGTTTGCTAAAGCAGCACTGGTTGGCAAACACGGGGCCAAGGCTTGTGGGACCCTGGCTTGGTTGTGAAACATGAATTAAGAGAATGCAGTGGAACTGAAACTACAGCAACTCCAAAGTGCCTGGAGCACTGGGCCCCTGACGGGGCGACGAGGATGTCCCAGCCAGCCTTTGGAACGTAGCAAATGGAGAGGACATGGAAAGCATGACTCAAACCCAGGGCTGCTGCCGGCCCATCCCCACAGGCCGGGGAACAGCAGATTTCTGGGATTATTTTTGTCTAGCACCAAATCACACAACCCCAAAGGCAGTTGCTAAAAGTTGCCAAGGACCCTCTGGGTCCTTCTGCTGTTGCAGAAAGAGAACTTAAGGGTTGTGGTTTCAAGAACATAATAAATAAAGATCTGCAGTGTCCTGAAGAGCATCTGCAAGCTGGCAAGCAGCCTTGCTCCCAGAACAGCTGAACCTGCTGGCTGGGCAGGCAGAGTTCCAGAGACTCCACCGTCCGTGCCGACCCGCGCGCCCCTACGCCAGGCAAGCACCACTGTCCTCAGAAGGGACTGGTGTCCCCCCCAACCAACCACTGAGAAGAGTCTTTGGAGTGTTGATCTGAGAAGCCTCATGCCTCACACGTGGTACAGAACGAGCCCATTTGCCACAGCCTGAGCTTCCCTGTCTCCAACCTGACAAGGAAACATCCAACAGCAGCTGGTGACTGGGAGCAGGATCCATCTTGGCTGTGAAGGTGAACTCCAGGGATGGTGCAGAGCCAACAAGAAATGAGTCCTGGCTTGTATCGTGCAGAAGACTCCTTGCTGTAATTTGAAGAGGCTCATCAGATTCCTGTCACCCTGGGTGTCACTCAGCACCACGGGCCACCCTCCAGAGGAACTGGGTGTCCATTCCCGTCCACTGCTGGCTCCAAGGCTCTTCCCCTGGCACAGGAGACCCAGCACCACTGACCTTTGCTCAGGTGAAACACCATCCCCTGTCAGCTGCTTTTACACCCAACTGACAGACCCGTTCCTGACCTCCCTGCCCCCCTGCCCTGCCCCTTGGCAGCTGCTCATGTGCTGGGGGTTGATTTACAGCAGGACAAGAGACACGGGCAGCCCTTCCACCAACAATCCCAAGAGGAAAAGCACAGGGATGGAGCAGAGTGCAGACACCAGCGTGGTCCGGGGGTCCCGAGGGCAGGGGCTGCTCCTCACCCAGCCTTGTGCCCAGGGCAGCAGATTTAACCACAGTCACTCCGAGGTGGAACTTCCTGGGGCCTCAGGCAGAGTCACCACTGACATCAAACCCTGGGAGAGCTTTTGGCTTCAGAAGTTTGGGAGTCGTTGTTTAATCCCAAGACAGCGCAGCTGAGTGAGTTCAGAATTTAAGTTACAAAAAAAAGAAAGCACTAGAAAATAATCTTGATACAAGAGCCATAATCAGCTGAGGTTCCCCACCCTGCACAGGGAATCCTGCTCCACAATCCGCCCAGCACAGCTGGGATGCTGCCAAGGCAGTGCTTGTTCCCAGCACACGCTGGGGTGGCAAACTGTCCTGGGTGAAAGTTACGTGGGGAATCCCCAGAAGTGGGAGTTAAGATGCTGCCACCAGCTCTGGTTTTGGCCTGTTCTTGACGGGCGACGCTTCTGCGGAAGAAAAAGAAACTTGTTAAAGGAACAGAGAAGGGAAATGATCCCCAGTCATCTCCTGCAGAAGAACTAGGACTCATATTCCATTCCCCCCTAGAGCAACAAGTGCTTGCACAGCACCTGAACCAATATAAGTTTGTTGTAAGTAATTCCACAGACCCAAAATGCTCCTTTCCACAGCACTTGAAGAATCCAGTTTCAAGATGTGCCCAACAGAACTTCAGTAGCCACCAGCCCAGTCTCACAGACTGAGGGCAGCAGCAGGACAAGCTTTTCTCCTCACCCCTTTGGTCTGACAACAAGAATCTAAATTAGGAACAGCCAGTGCAGGCAGCAAGGGCAGCTTGTGTTTAGTTTGTCCACCCTGCTGCCAGTGACAGAGATGACACCTGATCCATGTTTACTACTAAACCAGCCACCCCAGATTTCTCCTGGGCAGATTCCACACAGGCTTCTTACAGCTCCTGGTTTCCACCCGCAGGGAAGTTCTGCATCAAAGGTGCAGTGTCCTGCTGTCCCAGCAGACACTCATCACCAGTTTGTCCTCTGGCATCCAGCTCTGGCTCCACCTTCAGCTCTTCAGCACAGACACCCATAACACTCTGTGAAGTCTCCTTCCCCAACAGGCCAACACCTGCAGGTGTCCTGGCAGCGTGTAGATGTGGCACTTCTGGACATGGTTTAGTGGGCATGGTGATGCTGGGTTTATGGTTGGATTTGATGATCTTAGAGGTCCCTTCCAACCTTAATCATTCCATGATTCCAACAGTGCCCACCTAGTCACTCTGCCTCATGAGCTCTCTCCCACTGTCCTTTCACACTTGCTAGGACAAGCCTCACATCAGGAGAGGGCTCAGCCCCCTGCACAGACCTGAGCAGAAAGATGAGACACCAAAGCTGCAGAGCACATCAAGCCTACCTGGGATCTTCTCTGGGAGTGGCTCGGAAGGAACTTCTGGAAGCTCCACCTGTTCCTGCAAGAACATTAAAGACAACACATGACACACCCCACCCACCAGGCTGTGTCACAGCCTCCTGCACCACAGTTCTGTGCAAAGACTGTCTGGGAGCAGAGTAACAGCAGCAGAGGTTTCATGTACAAACTGACATCTGCCCCCAGAGCTGCAGGAAGGGCTGTGGGCTTCAGGACTGGCCAGTCCATGAACTCATTGCTTTTTTTTAATTAGTAAATGACACTTCTTAGGACCTCATGGAGCCATGAGTGTCCCCACATCAGTGCTACCTGCTGCTTCTCTCCATCCCAGTCTCCATTGGCTGCACATTCCCTACAGTGGAGCCAAGTCCAGTCAGTGTTTGGAGGAGCCACCAGCACCACAGAGATGGGTGGAGATGACAACACACAGTGACTCTCCCCCATTACAAACTGCTTCCCTGAAAATGTGGATTAAAAGCAATTACAAGAGCATCAGGTTAGTCCTACCTGAGTAATAGCATTTAATTCCTCTAGAATGGCATCTTCATCCTCCTCAGTCAGACTGCCAGCCAGGATCTCATCTATTTGCTAGGGAAGAGAGGAGGAGACACATTCCAGTCAAGACAGGTGTAGCAGGAGCAGCTCCAAGCCTTGCAGCACAGGAGAGCAGTGTGACCAGGGCTGAAGGGGCACCTGGAAACTATCAAAGCTGATTTTTCTGCAGGAAACTGAGGTTTAATTCCCAACTGATTGACTCTAAAAGCAAGGCTGGGAACAGGGTGCAGAGCAGCTTGGTGAGGCACCCCCTGCCCACAACCCCTCACACACAGCACATACCCTCTGGTACTCCACAGCATCCTGGGTTTCACCTATGATCCTTTCTACTTCTTCTATTGACATAACCTGAAGAAAAGAGCCAAAAACCCAGTGTGAGTGAGGCCTGTGGGGAGGCAGCTTCTAATGCCCAGACTCTGCCAGGCCCCAGGCAGGAGCTCAGCTGACCTGGCCACACGTACCTGGTGCATTTTGTGCAGACATTCATTGCCTATTTTCAGACCCTCAATGACTTTCATTTCAATCTGGGTGAATTCAATGTCCTGGACCTGAAAGAGGATGGAGAAGGGGTTACACAGGCTGTGACTCCCAGTGTTGGACAGACACAGACTGCCAAGATTCCCAGAGAAACTGCCAGGAGAAACCAGTCACAAGCTCTTTCTCTAATCAACAGAGGATTAAACTACACCAGCAGTAAGAAACATGCACACAAAGAGCCTCAGGCAGCTGCAAAAGCAAATCCTGCAGCCCTTCAGCTGATGTTCTAGCTGGCAGCCTAAGCTGAGGCTGGAGTCTCCATGGCCAACCCAGAACAAACAAGCCCACTTCAGAAATCAAGGCACTGAGGCAAAGTCCAGCAAGTTTCTCCTGCAGCTGCTCAGTGACTGAAGTTTTTATAAATGTACAAACCATGCATTTAACTTGTTCCCTGCCCCACAGACTCCAACCACCCACAACCTGGGTCTCTGGGGAGGAGCCAGGGCACACGTCTGATTCCAGGGACATTTGGCCTAAACCCCTGTTGGGACTTGACAGTTGAATTGCAATTCCAATTGGAAGGAACTCCCAGCCCAGGAGGGCAGAGCCCTCCCAGCAGTTCCAGGGGCAGCCCCTGGTCCCTGCTCACCATCCGCTCCAAGTTGCTGATTTGGTTTTCTGTCTTATCCAGAAG